GGCGCCAGCCGTCGCCTACTCCGTTCACACGCGAGCTCGTCATCGAGCGCTTGTTTTTGACAACACTATCAAGCATTGCGTTTGTATGTAATGCGTTAGCATACATTATTACTTTATCGATGCCATCGATGTGAAGAACAAAGGTGAAAGCGAAGCGAGCCAGCACAGAGACGCCGATGGCTGTGTTTACCTGCGAAATGACCTTGCATCGCTGCTCACGATCTCAGAGCCCCGCCACGGTGGTCTAGTGGCTAAGGTACTCGGCTGCTGACCCGCAGGTCGTGGGATCAAATCCCGGCTGTGGCTGCTGCATTTCCGATGGAGGCGGAAATGTTGTAGGCCCGTGTACTCAGGTTTGGGTGCACGCTAAAGAACCCCAGGTAGTCAAAATTTCCGGAGCCCTCGACTACGGCGTCTCTCATAATCATATAGTGGGTTTGGGACAAACCCCACAAATCAATCAATCACGATCTCCGATCTCGCTAGCGGTTTCAAAACGGGCGTTGTCGTGCAGGAAAGGCACACTTCAAGCATCACTTTATTCAATCCAGAATAATATCACGTTACCAGGGAAATGTACTCAATGTTTGTCACGCCACCGCAGTCGGCGATGTCAGCAAAGCCACGCTCGCACCGCTCCATCGACTCGCCTGAAGCTTTGGACCATGGGTGATGGGAGCGGCGACAGGGAGGTGGCGCCACTAGCATTGTGACGCCACTCGTAAGCTCGCACTGTGATTGGCTGCTGCCATGCGGCGGTGCGATGCTGCGATGAATATATCTGGCCGGTTTGATGCTCGCCGCACCGGCTATGCGGCGGTGTGAGGCGATGATACGTCACGAAACGTCACCATTCCGGCAGTCGCATCATCGCACCGCACGCCGAATCACAGAGAAAATCGCAAGTCTGTCTCGCGCTTTATACGGTATTAACCTTATTAAAATGCATGCTTTTTGTAGCACAGCTCTTAAGTCTGTGTAACATCTTGCACTGCATACCTGCCGACCCGGCAACAGAGAACTTGCCAAACTGGGAGGGGGGGGGGGGGTATCATAGCTGTGATGGATTTGCCTTTAGCGACAAGCGGGATCATGTTTTGCCGCCATAAGTCCGATCGACACGCTGAACTATTTTCCCCCATTTTTGGCACCAAAATAACAAAAACTATTGATTGATTGATATGTGGGGTTTAACGTCCCAAAACCACCATTTGATTATGAGAGACGCCGTAGTGGAGGGCTCCGGAAATTTCGACCACCTGGGGTTCTTTAACGTGCACCCAAATCTGAGCACACGGGCCTACAACATTTCCGCCTCCATCGGAAATGCAGCCACCGCAGCCGGGATTCGAACCCGCGACCTGCGGGTCAGCAGCCGAGTACCTTAGCCACTAGACCACCGCGGCGGGGCAATATAACAAAAACAAAAAAAACAAAAAACATCGTGAAAACAACAGGAGGGTGGGGAAGGGGGCTTTTCAACACAAGCGCAAACATCGGCGTTGCACTCTCATAATGGCTTGGAGTGGCCGAACACACGAGAGTAAAGTGTCCCACTAAGGTGAGTCTCAACGGGAGAGCGCCAATTCCCCTGAAATTTCATATCATCAAAACAACTAGGAAAAAATCGAGTTCCACCAAAACAACTCGCGCGTGTCTTCACACGTGAATGGGGGGGGGGGGGGGGGGCACAGCTGGCTGCCGTGTAAGCACAGGCCAAAGCTTTGACTGCTCGCTACTAGACTCTTTGGACAGGAACGCCTAAACGCTTCTAGCCCTTTTTGCCGTATTTGCTGGCTTTAATCTACCACTACGTAAACTACGTGCCCTCGGACCTTGTAGATCGCTATCACATAGCCGCTACCACAGTTTTATGCGCGGTGGTTGCAGCAAATGGCACTTTCGTTTTCAATCTACGTGCATTAATCAGTCATGCTTTCTATGATCGCAACTGCTGAGGTTTGGTCCACAGAGTTTGCGGAAAGCAACGTTGCTTTGACTGGTCGAGTGTAGGTTGCGCGCACACTTTTGGAGATCTGTTAGTAACGTTGTTGCAATACATGATTGTGTCGAACGACTGCGGTTTCGTCCACAGCAGTTGTGGCAACGACCAACCACACGCACTGTAGAAGGCAGTGCGTGCGCTGGTCACACACGTACTTCTGAAGCTTCCAGCACGCTACTCTCGATCGGTCTTCGTTCGACGGTTTCGGTACAGAAGTTCATATCACACGACGCAATTAGGAGAAGTGTTTGGAACATTTTGGCCCAATGGACACATGAATTTGGCTGGAAAATTTCACGAATTCGTATCTGGCATGGTTTCGCGTCACTGAAACGTTCGGTTACGTTTAGATTAACGCCTCTCAAATTCGTTTATAATAAAATGCAGCAGGCTCACAAAAAGCCTGGAACGGACTGACCTGCATTCTTGCCGATTTAGCCAGATCTCGCACACAAATTTCAACTTCCGGGAGATTTTCATGGCAATCGTACAGACGGAAGAAACGATCGACATACGGGAGTCTCCCGCACAATGCGGGAGACTTGGTAAGTACGTGATCATGATAACACGAATACATATTGTTCTTTCCTGGTGGCTTCCGTGACTAGCTACAGCAATGACCGTCTCCAAACACGGAGGCCGCGCTATTTTACTAATTTCATTTTTTTATCTGGAAATTAAACATTTTTGTTAAGATTTCAGGCTAGATTCATAAAATCGTAAGCACAATCGAAATTCGTACATTTTACGGGAAAATCGTTAGAGCTGGCAGGTATGGCATTGTCAGAGTGAGTAAGTGACTGGCACAGAGAAGGATGAAAGAGCGAACATTGACAATGAATGACAGTGATGGAGAGAAAGCTAAGGAGGAAAGCAGAGGTCTGCATCTGACATCTAAGAGGTGATATCAGAGCAGTGCATTGTTATCAGTGACTTGACTGATGAGGTGTGTAGTGAATGTGTCCACTGATGCCATAATTTTTTAATTGAAAAAGTTGCACAGTAGAACTGCTGTGGAAACCATTTAGCAATGTGCCACATAACAAACCAGCCACGTTACCCATAGTACTTTCTTAATCACAATGCAAAGCAGACTCGGTCAGCTTTTTCCAAACAATGAGAAATGTAGCTAACAAGTGCTTTGTGTGCTACTGCCACTAAGTGAGCAGCCAAATGAGAGCCTTAAAATAAACGAGAATCCAGATGTCTATGCTGCAAATGCTTCCCACCCACTTGCTGTACTGCTGGCAGCCACTTCATTGTGGCGTCATGCCGCAGCACCAGCGAGTCAGTAGCAGTCTGCTGCCTACACATTTAGGGTGCCTAAGGTTACGCACAGACAAAAAGATAGATGCTTTTTAGCAGGTGAAATCAATGTGTATGCCCTACTCAAAGCAAGCATGTGAGCTTAGAGAGTTTCAGAGACACTGCGGCCTGATAGGGGTACAGCTAAGCCCCTTTATAAGAGGCATGCTCTAAGCAGCAATTCTTTTCTTTTATATGAGACGCCTCTTATAACCAAGGTACCTCTTATGCATTTTCTTATCAACCCACATTTCATCCTAGCCAAGCTGGTGTCTCTTATACTCGTTTGTCTCTTATATCAGTGTCTCTTATAAAGGAGTTCTACTGTACTCCCTTCGTGCTTCCACAGCAATGAGGCACAAATGGCATTTGCTGATTTGAGTCTGCTAAAACTTGCAGAGCGCTTTTTACCAACACATTTAGGATGCCAAAGGGAACTCAGACAAAAAGACAGGTGCTTTTTAGCAGGTGAAATCGGCCTACTCAAAGCAAGCATGTGAGCTTAGAGAGTTTCAGAGAGACTGCAGCATGATAAGGGTACTTCCTTCGTGCTTCCACAGCACTGAGGCCCACGGCATTGAGGCATCAATGGCACTTGCTAGTTTGAGTCCGCTAAAACTTGCAGTGCACTTTTTGCCTACACATTTATGATGCCAAAGGAAACTCAGTCAAAAAGATGGGTGCTTTTTAGCAGGTGAAATCAATGCAGCCTAATGGGTGTACTCCCTTCGAGCTTCCACAGCATTGAGGCATCAATGCATACCTGCCAAGTTCAAGAATTTTGAAGCCGAAAGATTTACACGAAGAGGGGGGGGGGGGGGGGCAAAAAAGGACATAAAAACAAACAAAGAAAATATCGCAAAAAAATTGGGTGAAAAGGGGGTCTCAATCACAAGCGCCAACATCGGCGTTACGGTCTCTCAGTAGCTAGGAGTCGCCGAACACACGAGGGTAGAGTTTTTCGCTAAGGTGAGAGTCTCAAAGGATCAACAAAACTAGCAGAATCTCAGTTAAAACAACTCGTGTATGTCTCCCTGGGACACACGTGAACAGACGGGACGGCACAGCTGGCTGCCGCAAAAGTGCGGGTCAAAGCTTTGCTCACTACAAAATTATTTTGGCAGGAACGCCAAAACGCATCTGGCCCCTTTTTTATTGCAATAGCAATTATATGGACAGTCCAGGCAATTTTTTTTTTTGCTATCACCACTGCCGCCGCCCTTCACCGTATATGTATACGTATCAATACGAACACTCAAAGAAAAAAAGCCGGCCGTACTCGCCGCGAGGAAGGGCTGACGTACATGCGTGGTTTAAAAATAAAAAAGGAGCCTCTGCTGTGGCGGTCTTTTCAAGCAGTTTCAGACAATGGGGAGATTAGGTAAAAATTAGGGAGAGTTGGCAGGTATGCATTATTGAACCTTCTGTAATTGCTATCACAATGAAACTGTGTAGTATTCGTCATAAAATGACCAATTATGCAATTATTCAGTTCAGATAATCAGCAAAACTCTTGCTGCACTAAACTAAAATGGCAACAGCTCTCCATAAATTCATAAATCATACAGGAGCTGCATTCATGTCCTGCATAGGAAACATACATAATTAATCAGTCACATTCACCAAATCGCATTATATCAACCAGAATGCACTGCACATTCCTCAAGTTTTCTAAGGCTCAGGTACTTACCTATGCTGAGGTATCGGGACTGCACCCTTGCGGTCAAAGTAGTTGCGACCAATCTGTGTCAGTTGCAGGCAGTGCATCACCTTCTTAAAAAGCACATTGTACAAGTGCAGGCATTCAGATGGTGGTGTCTTTTTGACAAACTTGATGTTCAATGAAACAGGACTGTTATCTGCAGCAAGCATTGTGGGTATGCTCATCACCTGCAACAGAGAGGTTCATGCGTCGTAACTAGAGGCCGGATTTATAGGCACTAATAACCTGGTTTTAGACGCCTAAAATAGGTGAGCGAACACTGTTTTAAGCCCCCAAAATCGTAAATATAGGCACAATAAACTTTGACAAAATTCAAATTTTCGAAAAAATACGTTTAGGATTTGTGTTTACGACAGGACAGCAAACAAAAATCTTTTAATTTATGATGGTACAAAGGCACCAATGGTTTAGCAGCCATGCAATATTTTACCCGCAGGGCTCGTAGAATAGAATACGGTCTCTCCTTTTCTAGTTCAGCATGGTGATTTAAGTGTCCACCGTCGAATAAACATGCTCCTGGTGCTCTTTCTTTTTGGCATGACTGAAAAGAGCTATGCAGGAGCAAATAGACAGAGCACTAACCAGCCAGAAGGGTCTTTATGCTTTGTATTAACTTAATATAGCCGCACAGGATCAATTTCTCTTCTGTCTGTGAACATCACCTTTAAAGGCCCTTTACCAGGCTTAAGAATTTCGAGCAGGCAAGAGGAATGCATGCACTGGGTGCTCACAATGTCATCTGCCAATATTTGCAATACTACGCATCCAGAAAGAAATGAAATTTCAGACTGAACGCTTCTTGACTTTCATCTCATGGGCCCGTGCCCGAACATGGTGGAGGTGACATATACAGTCGACTCCCGGTAATTCGAAGTCGCTTAATGGGAAATTTCGGTTAATTAGAAATGAGCAAGTGGCCCCATCAGTTTTGCATACAATCGTACAGAAAAAAATGCTCGATAATTCGAAGTTAAAAACCCATAATATTGGTTAATTAGAAGTTTTTTCAATCGACAGTCTCGTCGCGACCGTAATTTTACAGTAAAATGGGGAACTTTTCATATGCCAAAACATCTGCCGGACCGCGCTGGTGTCTTCGCCATCACTACTGTCCGCAGTGCCACAGATCTTGAAGCGGCAATCTTTTTAAGGGGAGATGCGGGTCGAAAAATCGCGTTTTTTGCGAAAATTTCCACTTTTGAGATATTGCTTCTAAAATCACTTTTGATCATTCAACTATCATTTCCCCAAAGGTCATAGCTGAATTCAAACGAGAAAGTGGTAAAAAGTCGATCTGCGCTAGTGAAGGTAGCTGCCGAAGTCGCGAATTCACGCATCCGACGGCTATTTTTGAAAATCCGCCACTCGGCAACACGATGACGTCCGCCATCGGGGTTTGTTCGGTGGTGTAGATCAAGGCTCCTTCTAGTGTACAGGCGTCCCCCTAGTTTCGTATTTTAGTGAGGAATTTCACAAAACAGTCGTTTCCAAGCCGGTTTGCAGCCAAGCTGCAGCCGCTTCGCGCATCTCTACCGGTCACATGGTACGCTACCGAGGCCGCCATTGGCTACATCTGATCGGCCTCGCTCGCTGAGCGCTTGCGACGATCGGCACTTGCCGTGCGTTTCTACGTTTTTTCCGAGTTCACCATGGATAACTCGAAGAAGCGAGACTTCCGAGCACGAAAGTTTGCAAGCAAGAACAAGTACCAAGGGCGTCGACGTAAACCGAAGCGCAAAGCAGCGGTAGAAGAATGCGAGCCGCGGGCCACTAGGCCTAATCAAGGCAGCGGGGATACGGCGGCTTGCGGGAACTTTGACGAAATCGACGCCGCGATCAAGTTCATCAGCGCATCAGAAAAAAAGATTGAACAGTTCGAAAGCGAAAGAACGAAGAGTGTTTGTGGCTCTGTGAGCGGAGTATTTTGTGACATCGGCGCACTGACATCGATGGTAAGCCGTGCTGTTTGTCCAACATGCCACACCGCTGGACTCGTCGTTCGCGACACCGCAAGTAAACGTAAGGGCCTCTCTTCGTTCCTCGAGCTGCACTGTGATAACAGTGAGTGTCCTGAGTCAGTGGTTTCTGCCGCGCATAGTTCGCGGCGTGTTCTGCCGGAAAGACAGCCCACCGATGCCGGTGATGACTGGAGCTACCGAAGCGGCAGCTCGCGTGACAGCTTCGCTGTCAATGTGAAGGTAGTTGTGGCTGCGCGTGCAATAGGCATTGGGCATGAACAGCTGTCGCGTTTTTGCGCTATTCTTGGACTGCCAATACCTATGCATCATAAGACTTCTTTGCAATTGGCAAAAAAGTTCATGCTGCAGCTACCAAAGCTGTGCAAGAAAACCTGGCGAAAGCGCGGATGATAACTAAAGAGAAAGTGGATGGGGCTGATGTTGCTGTCATGTATGATGGCACATGGCAAAAAAGAGGGCACAAGAGCCACAATGGCATCGGCACTGCTGTGTCTGTGGACACTGGTTTGTGCCTAAATTTTGAAGTGCTATCGAATTACTGCCTTGCCTGTAGCCGGCACCAGGACTTGGGTGATGAGGAAGAAATATGGCAAGCATTCCACACACCTGTCTGCGAAAAAAATACAGAGTGCTCCTCTCATGCCATGGAGACTGAGGCAGCTTTGCGCATATGGGGCAGGACATCCTCATACACAACACCATTGCGCTTCACCAAGTTCCTCAGTGATGGGGACAGCAAAGCTTATACCGCTGTCGCTGAGGCCAAGGTATATGGTGAAGCTGTTGTGGACAAGGAGGAGTGCACAAACCATGTGGCCAAGCGTCTAGGCACTGCACTTCGGAAACTGCCAACAAGACTTCCACGAGGGGAAAAGCTGACAGATGGCACAATTCAGAAGCTGCAGAACTATTACCGTATTGCAATCACAAACAACAGAGGTGATATTCTGAAAATGCATCGTGCCATCTGGGCCTCATATTTCCATTCATCATCTAGCAACACAGCAGGCAGCCACCGATACTGTCCAGAAGGGGCGACTTCCTGGTGCAAGCATAGGCGAGCTGAAGCGCTTGGGGAGGCCCCACCCGACCACACACCAATCTTGACCAAGGCTCAAGGATTGGCTGTGCTTCCCATTTACAAGCGGCTCACAGATGAAAAGTTGCTGGTGCGTTGTATCCAAGGGAAGACCCAAAACGCTGCAGAATCTTTGAACAGCAAAATCTGGTTGTTGTGTCCGAAGACTAAGTTTGCCTCCCGGACAACAGTGGAAACTGCAGCTGCTATGGCCGTGTTGTGGTTCAATAAAGGACATTCAAGCTTTGAACACGTGCTAGAGGAGCTTGGTGTAGTCCCACCAGATCAACTGATCACCCTGGGCCAATCCCGCGACCAGAGGAGAATCGAAAGAATGTCTGCGTGTGAAACAGCCGAGGCAAGGGCCCATCGGCGGAACGTGGCAAAGAAAGCGCGCCTTGATGACTCCCTTCTCAAGCGGCGAGAAGGATCCACATATGGAGCAGGACAATTTTAGGTGCTCTAGCTGTGTCCCTTCTATGATATCACCAAGTTTTGTGCAAATCGCACTGTGTAATCATGAGTAAACATATTTACAACTTTCAAATGCATTTTTCTCGATTTCCATTTTGAGGTAATTCTCTCATCTTGTGCACAATCTTTTTTAGGCATAAAATAGTCCTATCTTGATGAAATTTTGCACAGAGCTTAATCAGCCACTCTAGAATACAAGTATCTACTTTAGGTTGCATTATACATCACAGATTTTTTGTTACACAACTTGATACACTGATAGAGAGATGTAAAATATGCATTTAGTACTTTTAATTTTTTTTTTTAATGTAGGAAATAAATTTTCTGTTTGAGGTACTTTTCTGTATTGTACTGCTCAAGTGCAGCAGAATGAGCCATTTTGCAATTCTGTGTGAAAATTTTTAGTAAGCTTTATTATGTGCACAAAAAACACTATATTTTGATATCAAAGTTGTAGTAACTCCGGAACTACTATAGCTATCAAACAAATAATTGCAGTTATGAAATCAGCACTGCAAGCTTTACTAACACCTAAAATTTCAAGGAGCTGGGTTATGAAATAAAAAAAAACCTTTTTCGAGTAGCATCTCCCCTTAACGCTGGCGAATCGCATCGGCGGCATCGACTGACTCTTTAGTTGACTTTTGTCGAGACTCGAGTGTGTCACCGCGTCACCCGCGCGCTGGGTTGATTCCACACGTGTTTCCGCGCTTCTGATTTTGAGTGTTGTGGTGGTGACGTACGTTTGATAATGGCAACTCGTGGCCCTTACCGAACGCTAGACCTAGCGACGAAAGTCGAAGTCTTGAAGGAAGTTGACCAGGGAGGCACCGCCAAACAAGACATTGCAAGAAAGTACGGCATTAAGCCTAACACGCTGTCGACTTTCATAAAGAATAAGCGCTCAATATTGGATGCGTTTGAAAGTGAAAAATTCAAGACATCGCGGAAGCGGATGCACACCGGCGCCTACCCCGAGTTGGAAGCACTGCTGATTTGGATCAGAGAGGCACGAAACAACAAACTTCCTCTCAGTGGTGAAGTCGTCACGGCAAAAGCGTCATCGCTTGCTGAAATGTTGGGCATCAACGACTTCGCTGCTTCGGATGGGTGGCTTACGCGTTTCAAAACATTGCCAAGACTTGATTTTTAAAAGCGTGTGTGGGGAGAAAGCGTCAGTCGATGAGGAAACGTGCCTGACATGGAAAGCGGGCAAGCTTCGCGAGTACCTCGAAGAATACCAGCCGGCAGACATTTTTAATGCAGACGAGAATGCGCTTTTTTATCGGCTGCTACCGTACAAGACCCTGACATTTAAAGACGACGACTGCTCTGGAGGCAAAACAAGCAAATAGAGAGTGTCAGTGCTAGTCGCGGCGAACATGACTGGCACAGAACTGTGTCGCCTGCTTGTGATCGGGAAGGCTGCCAAGCCTAGGTGCTTTAAAGGCGTGAAGACGCTTCCTGTGGATTATGCCTCGAACAGAAAGGCGTGGATGACATCCGATATATTTAAGGACTGGATCACCAAACTCGACCGCAAGTTCGCGCAATCAAGCCGTAAGGTGGTGTTCCTTGTGGACCAATGTAGCGACCCCAAAAGAGGGCAATTTGTTGAAACTTCCCCCCACGCGCC